ATCATAAGAGTGATAACAAAATCGGACGACCGCGCAGCAGGAGTCCGATTTGTTTATCACGAGTATGATTACAGACCGAATTGGACGACACGAAGTCTTCTTACCAATTAATCATAAAAATTACAATTACCGAGAAGAGAAGAATAGCCAAGTTATGAAAGAAAGGGAAAATTTGCATTAAAATAACTACAAAGGAGATGTAAATATTCTAAGGCCACCGCGCCAAACACGCAAAAGCAAGCGCGCGCACGCACGCACGTAACTACAACTTTGAATGTGATTGGTTGACTTAAACTACAACTTTGAATGTGATTGGCTCATTGAACTGTCCGATAACAAACTGTCCAATAACAAACTACAGTCTTCCGCAAGAAATTGTTTGCTTATTTTTGCGATAAGTTCAGTGCTAATTTTTTATCGTGATTATCTTATTTTTTAATATGAGTTTAGAATAATTTTTAACTAGGTATACAATCATACAATGATACACTAAGGCGGCTTATATTAAGGAATCTTGTATTCTGTTTTAAGTTCTCCTCAAATTCATTGGATGGACTTGTCCAATGTAATGTAATTTGGAATTTGTATTAAAGATTAAAGATTAAACTGTCCGATAACAACTTGGCAAGTGAATTAGTGGAGAATAGGAGTTTTTTAAGCCGATCACAATCGAGGAAATTGTAATTTTTATGATTAGGATAATGATAATAAAATATCTTTAGCTAGGAGGCAACCTCACCCACGGTGGTTTTCAGGCTGGTCCTGAGTAAAAATCGTAGATATACAAATTGTCAAGTTGAAAGTTTAAAAAGTATACAAACGTACACAATAAAGTCCCAAGGTAGAGTCAATAAAATAATAAAATTTGATAAAATGTGTACCCAAGCTTCTGAAAAAAACTCTAGGCTATTTACATCTCTTGTAGTCTCTGGGATAGTGTTCCACTCGTGTATCGCTCGATAAGTCAGTCTTTGGCCCCACTGGCACCGAGATTTGCCGGGCATTTTAATGTTGTCTTTGTGTCTGGTGTAAAAGAGTGGATTTCTCCCAGTGTGTAAAATTAAATTTCCGGTCAATCAGCCCATACATGCATTTAAATACAAAAGAAAAGCGATGTTGCGATCGCCTATCCGACAAAACTAGCCAATTAGGATTGAAGATGACGCCTTTGTTTCTGAGATTTCTCCTTGGCTTTAAAATCTACTCGGTTGTGAAAAACATATGTCATGAAATAAATAAAAAAACGTAAAGAGTGTTTCGTGAAAATTTCGAAGCAACTCAAAGTTAGTCAGTGATACTCTACCTCACTTTAATCTTTAATCTTTAATACAAATTCCAAATTACATAACATTGAACAAGTCAATCCAATGAATTTGGGGACAGCTTAAAACAAAACTTCGCATTTTCAGCCATCGCTACAGTTGAAGACATAAGAGCTGGCCAGTTTTAATGCATACCCGCGAAAATTGTTTGTAAACCGCTGATTCTCAAGCCTCCTTTTTGGGCTCATATGCTGCTGATTATATACAATAATGATACATACACGGATGCAGTTTCTTGCAGTAGAGAAACCGCTGAACAGGGATATTGTAGTAGTTAGTAATCAGTGGTAAGGAAAACTGACTTGAAAAAACGGTCGATAAAACCGTGACCATCTCTCGCGGAATATTGGAGCAAAGACGGATGAAATATTGCGGTCTAAAGACAGCCGAGTTTTTCATTTTGGTATGGGCTGCTGCCCTGTATTTGCTGGATACTTTTTCATTGGTTTTAAATGCAACAACCAGGTATCAAAATGATGATAGAGCTGCAAAACATGAGGTGAGTCTGTTACATAAGCTTATAGTTTTTACCTGTTTTTTTACCTACACATTTTTACCTTTGCTAATTTTTCATAAAATATTTTATTAAATATTTCAATCACAATGCATTTACGTTCGCCTCCATGTTCGAACAGCCGAAGGGTGATATAATTGCGGGCTTAAATGTTCAAAAAGCTATTCAAATGGCCATTAGAAATAGTGAAATCCGTTCTTCTGTTTTGATTAGATGAGAATTTGCCGGCTGTGAGTGATTTTGTGTGTATTTACCCAGGGAATAACCAGTCACATAGATATTCCATTTTCAAAAATGAATATTTATAAGTGTGTGACATGATTGGTTTCACAAATTGTGGAAAATGTGTTACAATTAGGAGTAACTGTAACTGTAATTTCGAGATTGACTGTAAAAAAAAAAAAATAAATAAATAAATAAAACAACAAAATAGATATCGAGTACAGTGGTTCTATGAAGGCTAACAGAAATAATTTCTAACAGAATGAAGGATCTGAAGACATGATTGATCATCACAGTTATACACACAACTTAAGCAATTGTGAAATTAAAGCCTGAAAAAATTCAGGCCTGAACGGGATTTGAAACCATGACCTCTGCGATACCGGTGTAGTACTCTAGCAACTGAGCTATCAAGTCAACTGGGACCTGGTCATATTGTGAGTTCGTAATATACCCGTAGATGGTGAAGAATGCAGTTGAACACATGAACGGTCATATATTTGAACTGCGGAGAAAGATATGAAGACATGATTGATCATCGCAGTTATGCACACAACTTAAGCAGTTGTGAAATTAAAACCTGAAAAATATTCAGGCCTGAACGGCCTGAATTGCGATGATCAATCATGTCTTCATGTCTTTCTCCGCAGTTCAAATATATGATCTTGCATATATTCATTTGTACAGAATGAAGGATCCTTGATCACACAAGCTACGATCTTCGCTCGATCGGATTAACGAGTTTTTAGGGATAAGAAACTGTTATCCTCAAATTTAATCTAAGATCACAAGCGATGCAAATCATTTGTCCCAGCGGACCGCGGAAAAAAATACAAAAAATAAGGAAAAAATGTTGCAGCTGGTACGTGATGATATAACAGTCCAAACAATATTCTTGCAATACTTCTAAATGATGTCCAAAGTTCATTTAAGCAATGGACCACACTTTCTATGGGTTTATAGGGGTAATAACCCACGCGGGATGTTGGGAGAAGACGAGAGAAGCTTGTAAATCACGAGCCGTCTGGCTTGTGATTTACAAGCTTTTCGAGTTCGAGGTCCGCACAATGAGTTACGGCACGCGGACTTCCATCTTGCCTTCCACCTGTCGATTTATTGCCTCCCGAAACGCGCGGCCATAAATCGCAGGGGAAAAACGTGGATCCGTAATTCACAGTTCGGTCTGAGAAAACTAGTTTAGTAAGATATTTATTAAATCATACCCATACTGTGTTTCAAAAGGGCTGGGGAACCATCTCTAGTCAGGAAGAATGGCTTTCAATGAGTCGCGCATGTCAAAAGTACACAAGAAGTCAACTTAAAATTGTTGCTAGGTCGTTTAAATACGTGTTGTCGAAATTTTAGGAAAACGACAACTTTTACAACAAATCGCGAGAGACTGGTAATTAAAACAGCCCCAAAATTTTGCGGGCCTCACGGTAGAATACCCACGGCTTACTAAATCGACCAATCACAACGTACGTAGTTACTGACAGAAGTTGTTGTTGAAGCATTGCCTTTTACAAACAAATGTAGTTGTCTTTGCACTTACCATTCCTCGGGCTATCTGCCAGGCGAATGACAGTAGGTCAGCTGGATGAAACGACTCGCAGTCTTCAACGCATCCATCATCTGTCTTCTCGATCGAACTATCTTCTTCCATTTTTGGCCCTCTGAATGTCACCAGAGGTATTGCGCTTCCATTGCTTAGCTCAACGCAAGTTTGGTCACTAGGCTCAGTGGAAGTCGCAGTGTTTTCTTGTATGACAATAGATTCATTTCCATCCTCTAGACAGTCCTGCGAAACAAAGTAAAACAGTTTGTAATGAAACAAACTGAGGTGCAGCATAAATAATGGCACCTTAAGCTTTACATTCTTTTTGTATTTTATACGTTTTACTATCTGCAATGGACGAAGTTCCATTAACTGATACCTGTTCCTCCTTGTGTATCCTCGTATCCTCGTAAACAGTCTTGTTGTCTTTGTCACTTCCAATACCGTTAGCAGTGCTGCTGATAATCTAAACATAAGCAGTTGCAATGAATGATGGTACAAGGATTGGGTCCATTTACACTGCAATCTAGCCCGAAAAGAAGGCATAGTTTTGATCAGCGGCGACGGCGTGCTCAACGCCCTGAACAAAGTCAAGAACTGGAACCAGAAAACACTGCTTCCGGTTCGAGTGTGCGCATGCGTCCAAGCTCAATGATGGTTTTTGAACATAATAATAATAATAATAATAATAATAAGGACGATAAAAATAATAATAATAATAATAATAATAATAAAAATAATAAAAAGGTTCTTATTGCGCATTTAGAATTCTCAATGCGCTTATAATTGCATATGATTAAAAAGAATAAAAACCTAACTAAAAGATGCAATTATTAAAATCTATGACTAGGTTAAAAACAATTACAAAAAAGAAATGTTTTAAGGTTCTTTTTAAAAATCGCTATGCTCTCAGACTGTTTTATATAAAAAGGTAGGTCATTCCAAAGTTTCGTGGCATAAAAAGAAAAGGATCTTTGACCGTATGTACATGTTTTCACATCTGTAACTTGTAAGAGTAATTGGCCAGATGATCGAAGAGAACGAGCTGGTTTATAGGCGTTAAAAAGAAAAGTTAAGTAGGTTGGTGAAAGACCGACATACGAAGAGAAAACAACCGCTGCGATTAACGCTAGCTCACTCCGCACATGATTTCACCCAGATGTCCCGACTTATGGTTCTGACCAAAAGGATCATGGTCTCTAGGAACGAGATGGTGTACACCGGTATATACCACATATTATTAATATCCAGCGGTGGGTTTTCGATGCGCGCGCGATCGTGAGGGCTATAAATAGAAGAAAATTGTCTCTATTTCGTAGAATTGATGATAGCGATTCAAAGGGAACAATAAAAAAAAAAAAAAAAAAAAATTGAATTAATAGTGAGATCTGTTCAAACTAAGAGATCACAATAGAGATCACAATCTCTTGATTCAAACCCATAACCACGTCCTATATATGCACAACGACATGCTTCTTTTTTAGTTGTAGAGCAATAATTCTACAAGTTGTGTAAGCTCTGCCAACATGAAGATTGTTTAGCGATATTTATAGCATACTATAACCCAGTTACAGACTTACAGTAGCATGCAATGGCAACCAAAACATTTTAAAGAAGTTAAAGTGAATTTATTTTCTTTGTCCCATGCTCGTGTCAGTCTTATACTGCGGTCTAAATATTTACCGACCTTAAAATCTTAGCGTTTGTGTTTATTGCCACACTTGACGTCTTGGACATTACTGCTCCTAGCAGTATATCTTGCGGCTCAGTGACAACACCGTCCGACCAGTGTGCGCAAGCGGAGGTCATGGGTTCGATTTCTGATAGGATTACATAATTTTATTTTTGTTCAATGCTTGTGAGGAACGAAGCGCAGTTTCTTTCACTAAACGTTACTACCCCACCGGACCGGGGGGCGGGGGGTACTCCTATATGAAAATGCCGGGGATGCTCGTCGGAAGTAAAGTGGTGGCGTCTCGTCATGGACACCTTAAGAGAGAACAGAATCCTTGATTTATACCCCTATAAAGCAAGACGACGAGCTTCAATCCCCGACCTTTTCATATGGAAGTCCCTCCCGGGGGTTACTACAGACGGCTAAGTCTTATTGGATTTTATTTCACAATGTTACCTGTCGCCTCTTTCGTATCAGCCATTGACGCAAATCTCCGTGAGCTACATACTCGATGACTAGAAGAAGTGGTTTAGTCGTTGTCCAACATCCTACAAAACTCAAAACGTTCTGATGCTTTCCTATTCGTTTCATGAGCTCTATCTCACCGAGAAACTCCTGCCTTTGTTCTTCACCAGCGTTATCTGTGAAAAAGACGAGAGATACACGAGGGCTGACGTTGCAGAATGAAGCAGACCGAGGCTACTGACGAGGTATTCTATAATGATAATTATTGTACAATTATCTTCGAACGATAATCAAAATGATCTGAGCTTCAAATTTCGAATTCGGCCACTTGAGAAGGAAGCTGGAGATTTTCGCACAGGCTAAAATCATTCCTCCTTGACAGAAAATTCTGGGCAATTAATCTTTAAAACCCATTTTTCAACAGAATATGTCGCGGCATAAAGAGGATTTATTAATGTTTAGGTATTCAACTTAATGAGTAAATAGTTGTGGGTCACTTTACGAAATTAAAAGTTCCTTTATTGTCAATCATCTTCAGATAAAATGAAATGAAATGAAACAAAAACAGCTGAAGAAAAGGGCGTGGCAACAACAACAACAACAACAACAACAAGAACGACAAAAACAAGCAAACAAAAAACAACAACAACAACATCGTAAACGGCTTACCATGTAGTTCTTTAATGGCAACAAACTGTTTTCTTATCTGTCTTGAACTTTCCTGATTATCTTTAAAGTACTCCAGACCGGCCTTATATGTTGCCAGGTGAACCTTTCCGAACGCTCCCTCACCCAGCGCTGTGACAAATGCAGTTCTTTTTGGATGAATTTCGTGATACTCGAGGACCTGAATATCTTTTGCTGTCCTGAAACAAAAAAGAATTGTTCACAAAGTCTCTTCATTTTGATTTTCTAGATGCGAGGTCGCCATTTAAGTAACGGAAATGAGTTTCACAGTTTAGCTATTATTCTGATACACAACAGTTTCCATCTATTCTCACATTGTTTTCTATCGTGTGCATATAGTGCAACGTTATTTTTGAGTTTGGCTGGTGATTTGTTCAGTATACAGAAGTTACTCATATGCTTTATATCGAGGGAGCTATCATGAAAAGGTGTTGGAAGTCAGCAACGTTTTCGATTACAGAATTGCATGTATTTTCTTTTTTAAATTCCTAAAGTACCCTAAGGAGCTTATTAGAAATCTATTTTATATTTAGTTGACGACGTGTCTATTGTTCTTGAAATATCATGAAAATCACACGAAAATAGTCCATTTTACGGTTGTCTGCTCAGTGACGTGGCTTTGAATGGGAGCGGTGGAGGTGACCTTGTTTTGATACAGATCTCGATGCTTTTGTTGTTTAAATTAAGTTGTTCTAACTAGTTTCCATTTAAATGAAAAACCAGAGAGGTTTGTAGCAAAGGAAGGTCACTTCCAGCCTCGCTTGCATTCATAGGCCAGGTAACTATGCACACAACTGTAAAATGGCCTATTGAACACACCTTTTAATGGTTTGGCTTTGCTTCGGCTTTGTCTTGCAATACATTATTACAATACCAAGGACAAGAGCAAGGAAAACTAAACAGGCGACGATGAGAAACGTTGTGAGATTACTCCATGGTGGTGACACTAAGGAAAAAATAATGATAAAAAGTAATATGCGAGGAACATAGGCTTGGCACTATGTTTTTTCTTGCGTTGGTCCTAGCAGCTGATTGGATGAAGCTACAGCTATACTTTGCCTTTGTAAAAGTTTATCGCTCTCATTTGCAAATCTGAGAATCTTGTTGTACGTCTCTCTTATCAGAGAAAGACCAAGCTAGGTTTGTGGTTTTCGTCGACTGATAACTGGTGGAGCTCCGCGTCAAGTGAGAGCGAAAGCAAAACGTCGTATTGCTTTAACATAACTCCGTGGTTGTTTGTCCACTTAGAACGTTGATAGAGCTGGTTTATTGCGGCGAACATGTTTTTGGCGTTAATGTACAAAACACAGCTAGTACAGCTCTTTACTGAATTTATCAGATTACGACTTCGCAAAAAGCCATACTAGTTATCGAAACATGCAATAACTATAGACCACTATCTCAAAGTTTCCCTTGAAAGTAAGAATTGTTCTTGACTTTAGTTACCTAAGGTTGAAGTTTTCAACTGACTGCTATGAATTATATAATCTAAGCAACTAGAGCTCTGGCTACCATTTTCTATGCCTGATGGTCAAGTCGCCTTGTTCTTTAGCTCTTTTCGGGCTCAAACTTTAAATTCATCGTTATCAAAACTTCCATTTTTATCCTAGAAGACTTCATGAACCTCTTCATGGGGGAAAGTAAGACTATATATTTATTAAAAACTGAATCATTGGAAAATGCAATTCGAGAGGTTTCATAAGCTTAGCCATCATGGGTTATGGGTTACGCTCTTCGAATATGGTAAGCGTACGCGTGAATTTTTTGAGCGTTTTTATTTTTATTTTAGTGTAGTTTTCTTTATTTTGGGGGCGTTTTCAATAAAACAATTCATTCTACTCGCCCTTGTTGGATATGACATAGTTACAGCCAACTTGGCGATACGCACCTCGTTAGCTATCATACCATATCCAACGCGCGGTCGTGGAATAATTAACAATTATTCCATGAGAGCGCGTTGGATATGAGATGGTAAATAGCCAACGAGGCCCGTGGGGCCGAGTTGGCTATAACCAATCTCATATCTAACAAGCGCGAATGGAATAATTGTTTTATTAAATTCGGTGCGTTTGTATACTTGGAAATTATGGCTCAAGTAGAATTCAAGGAACATCCACCACATGAAGGAGATATATCCTTGGTCAGAAAGTTTGAAAAGCGTTTAAGTTTGAGTCATGGAGAAGAGCCGAATAATTGTGCACTTGCACATTGCCGTTGTAATAATGCTGCGGAAAACTTTGATCGCAATGTGACACAGACGTTGTGCCAAAATTATGCTCAACAAGAACTCTTTCAGGATTTCCTTGCTTTGAAAGTCTTGGCATTTCGAGCTGTCTGTGTGGAGCTCATTTTTGGCCAGATTCAGAGTCTGGTACAGAAACTATCTGAAAGTCAGATTCATCTTCAGAATATCCGAGGCCAGCCTGATGGTTTTTCGTGGCTGGTAAAGAACCGGGCTTACTTCGGTTCAGCTCAATACACTCAACTCCTTGAGGTGTTTTTCGTAAGGACAGAATTGTTGGCGCTAGCTGTCGTTGATTCTCTCGTCCTCGTGGACAGAAAGAGACCGAGATAAAACTAGGTCGTCCTCTTTAGCTGTGCGGGATTTTTATTCTCGACCGATCTGAGCTCGCTTAAGTCGAACAGTTTCCTCATCTGCTCATTGGAAATCGGTTTCTTATGGACTACGCCGGCAATGATGACTGTTTTCCTGAGGCCTTTTGCAAATGCTCAAATATTTCATTTGCCTGGCCAGAGATAGTGGAAAATCGGTTTGTTGTGCGGCGGCGTGCGAAGGAAATGATTAGTGGCGGCTCTTATGGATTTCGTGGATGAACGTTTGTAATACGTGCCATCTTTCTTCCTCGCAGAAGTGTAAAAACACTTCAAACAAACATTCAGTTCTTCTTTGACATTTCTTATGTCGGTTTGGAAAATTTGATGCCACCAGGACTAGTAAACCATTCTGTTGAGGTAAACATTGTTTTTGTAACTTAATCTTCATGAATGCGTAAAATCTCGACGGTCATATTTTAATTTTGCAATTTTTAAGGGGACCGTTAAATAATCTAATCTCGAACTTTGTGGCTTTTTTGTTGTTACTGAGACGGCATAGTCTGTAATTTCCTGTATTTCTTCTGTAGATAGCTCATCGAATCAGCTTTTTTTATCCATTTTTTTTTTTTTTGGCGACGAAACTTGGCTTCCCGCGAAAAAGTTTATGCCGAGCGATATTTACCGTATTCATTTCCATATAAGGTCAAACGCAGGTATAATGGCTGGTAACCGAGATCCAATGAACCAATCAGAAAGCTAGCATTGCATTACCCGAGGTTGAGAATTTAATAATTGTTAAATATACCTGAATCTGCTGTGTCTCCGAGATCTCCCTGTGCACTTGCTCGACCTCCCCCTGTTGTGATGGGCCAGGCCTTTAAAGGAGAATGACTACCTCCTTTCTCGTTCCAGGCTTTCACTTCGAACACATAGGTTGTGGTACAGTTAAGAACTAGTGCTTGATGATTGACGTTTGGGTCGGTGACATTTGTTATGCTCCATCCCATGTCTCCATATTGTGGTGTCTTTTGTTTGTAGTGGACAGTGTAGAAGAGTATTGGACAGCCATTTGATGATGGCTTATTCCACTTGATAGTGACGTTGCACCCTAGAACTTCCGTTTCAGTATTGGTTATAGTGGGTGTATCGGGGCGGTCTGCAATGCGTGCAAAATGTTTTCTGGTCAATTTGAGGTGTTATTCTTGTAACTTTTTAATGTGCCGGCAACCTGAGCTGTAACTACTATTTTGTTATTATTATAATGAAATTAAAAACCAAAATCCGCTTGAATCTGTATTTATTACAAGTATTTTACAGCGCAAAATAAGGCGCCCGCTTTCATTTCTTTATTCTTGGTTCATAACATAAAGTAGGGATATTGATATTCTTTTTTTTGCTATTGGTGATATAAATAAATTTCGCTATTTCTAACTTAATTACTTCCAATCCTCCGTAGGAAAAACGATGGCGACTGGTACATTTACCCATAGTTCTTAGCGCACGAAAACCTAAAAAACGTTCATAAAAACGTACAGAAACGTTATAAAAATCTTCAAACCTAGGCTACTTAATATCCTTAGTACAGGGACAAAATATTGCAATTATAAGGCTTTCTTCGTGCCTTTTGGGCTGTGTCAGGTTCGCGACGCATTGTGGTAAAATGTACAGCCGCCATCTTTTTTCCTACGGTGGATTGGCCGCTGTGCTGTTGTAGTAGTAGTATTTTCTGTATTTTATTTCCCTTCCTCACTTTGCATTTTCATTCCGTCGGTAAAGTCCAGGCGACAACATCGTCATTCCAATAACTGATAAACAACCAATTCTTATTGGCCCAGGGGTTTTGTTTAATTTAAATGAATTGCTTGCTATCTAAGACACGCAGCAAGGTTAGTTTTTGCCGAATTCTTAGCTCGAACGTTTTTTAGTGGTATGAATTGAGAATAGATCTGCACAACGTACAAAATAGGCAAATTGTTTATTTGATTTATACTTTTGTAAGCTTCACGATTAGAAGCGTTGACTGACTGACTTTTTTTAAACATTAGTGTTTTTGGTTACCTGTGTTTTCCGTTTTAATGATCGCACGTGATGGTAGCCCATACCCAAGCCTGTTCTTAGCCATCACTCTAACCTCGTAGGCCGTGTCTTTCTTCAGGCTCGTGAACAAACAAGATGTCGACAGCAACGTTTCGGATGAAGAACAATTATGCCATGGATCTTGTGAACCATTTATTTTTATCTGGGTGAGATAACTTGCGACGGGTCCTCCAAGTGTTGCACGAGTTGATGGACTCCAAGTGAAGTTGATAGAGTTGCACGGCCCAGATATTGTTTGAAACATGTTAGGTGGGTATGGAATATCTACCAGGAAGAAAGGGCAGACAATCAAATGCAAAGGTTAGTAAATATCTGTTATAACAATTGTAAAAAGGATAGCAAGAGGTAATCAAGTAATCTTGTGCAAATCTATCTTTTTTGTAACGTGTTAAAATAAATAAATAACAAAAAGAGTAAGCAAAGTCTTAATTTCGCGACAGAATCGAAAAAACAAATGGATTACTCTGGCTAATTTCTTGCTCGTACCTAGCTGTTTGGTAGATAAGAAGCTTACTGTACTTTTTCACCTTAAGGAGTCCTTTTATTTGGAAAAAGTTTTTTCTGCGAACCCGAATTTTTCATAAATTCTTCTCGAATTTGCAAACCAAACCACGAACACTTTTTATCAACAAACTCCGCAAAGACAGCATCGGAGTCAAGCAAATTTTATTGATGATCTTCCTTCGGGGCAATGCCCGCCGCCTCCTTTTCACACTTGTAAGGTAGAAACGCGCGACATACGATGCGTTTAACACCAGGTTCTTTTTTTCGTCAATTGCTACCAGTTCTTAACAAAAAAAAAAAAAAAAAAAGAGAGAAAACAAACTAGATCAATATCAGCCACATTGAAACAGATAGTTCCAGCGAGGCACTGACAGACTGAGGATGTTTACATGAGAAAACTTGGACCGGCGCGAGCTTCATACCGGGATGACGACTTGATTTCGTATCGCGTTTACGTGAAAGAAACCACAAGGATCGAGTTTCCTTTTTTTTTAAATTACAGCAAATAAAAGGCTTGTCGTGGCAACTAAGTACAACAGTTTTGTTGTCCTCCTTATAGCTGTTTATGAACAAAACACTTCAGAGATCCCAATTGTCTGATGCTTACCCTAGCGTCAATGCAGTCTTACCTTGTGCTGTTCTTAAATGCCATTCCGTGCTGTTACTGCCTCCTAACTTGTTCCAAGCAGACACAATTATTTCGTACCCCTTACTATACTGTAGTTGTAACGTGTATTTTGTATCGTTGACTGTAACTGATGACCAGTTTTCGTCCTCAAAGGCTGGTTCAACTATTCGGTGGCGTAGAGTGTACAAGATAATTTCACAGTTATTGTCTGATGTGCTCCACATAATGGTAACATTCCTTCCAGTTAACTCCGTCTCTTTGTTCATTATCTTGGGAGGATCAGGTGGTCCTAAAAGCATATCATTGGTAGATTTAACGACAGAAATTTTCCCACCAAATAACAGTTCATCAATACCAAATTTTCAAACTGAAATTTTTATAAAATCAACTCAATTCTAACTCAAGGTTGCAAGTTTCATCAATAATTTGGTTGAAACACTTTGAACTTTTCTCAACTCTTCGAATTTAGAAATAGCATATTTTCTCTTAACCTTTTCAGACCGCACTTTTTTTTTTTTTTATCTTTTTCAAAGGGGGTCGGGCTTTTTTTGCAAGAGTATACTTCACCTGTGTAGACTGCGTCAAAAGACCCATAATACCAATCGCTCGGTCCCTTCCTATTGATCGCTTGCACGCGTACATGGTATTTCGATTCGTTTACCAAACCTTTGAACACGCAGCTTCTTTTCTCTACAGAAGTTGTGCAGTCTCGCCAGCTGTCTTCTGATTGCATTCGTACTTGTGCTCGGTAAGCAGTTATCGGTCCTCCTCCTGAATCGGAGGTGGGCTTCTCCCAACTGACGTTGTACCTGCCACACTTGTCATCTATAACGTCCTTTAGCGACGGTGTAAATGGAACTCCTGGTTTTAACACAATGATGCAAATTAGAAGTCAATTCTAAGTTTAATAATGGCAGAATTCTCACTGGAATTGAGTGACCCCTAAATTCTAGAAGGGTTTCTCGTCTGCAACGAGTTTCCCGTATTAATATGAAAACGGTTTGGGATGCGTCCAAATTTACCCGTCTACTTATCCGTCTAAGTGAGCGAAAGTTTTGATTCCTACTAGACGAGAAACCTGTCGTTATCCGTCACGAAGTCACAATAAGACGGTTTTCTCGTAGACGTTCATAAGAAAATTCCACTGCGCTGACTGGGACTAGGACGAAAGGAAAGCTAAGCGCTTTGGGCAAACAAAATTGCTCCTCAGTGGCCTCCAGCACGTCCTAATATGAATTCATGAAGGCCAGTTTAGACAAGTTTTTCGAGACGTTCACTTTAGGACGAAAATCTCGTTAGACATGATTCCGTATAGGCTGGTTCCTGTCTTCTAATGTGAATACGAATAATGTTGCACTGAGGCGTTAATAATATTGATAAGGTGTTTACCGCTTTCTGTAGTAACTGTTACCATGGAATCTTTGTCGATATCACTGTGTCCACGCTCATTCCAACCCAAGACTATGATATCATACGCCTGGCTACATTCTAGCCATAACTGATGCAATTGTTGGTGGGGATGATATGCGTTCATGTTCTTGGTTTGCCATGTCACGTTCCCTTTGCCTGAAAGCATAGATTCCCTGTAGTGGATTGTATATCGAGTTACCGGGCAGCCTTTTCTTGGAGGGGGCTGCCACGAGAGTTTGACACTACAGCCAAACGACGAGGCGTTTAGAGGAAATGAGTCTGGTCTTTCTGTAATGCAATGAAAGTTGAAAATGTTTCGTTACGTAATCTACGTGCAGTCTTTCTAGCACTAGTGATGCCTTTGTTCGTGTAAAGATACAACATTTTCGTGTTTGAAAGGAGATAAGGAAAGGTCTTCTTTTTCTCTAGCTAAGAAAGCAACTGCCAACATCACTACAGCTTACGGTGTTTGAGAATTCTCTTTACTGTGGTGACATAACGTTCTGTTGACATGTATATCATATTATAGCGGTTTGAGATTACTTGCTATGAAAAGTCTCCAGTGTCGTTAGTTCAAGTAACGGTATAACCAGGCAAAACAGGAAAAAAATACCCAAAGGCAACAATAAAACAAACAAGGCGTAATCAACGTTTGGATCGTTGCGTACCGGCTTAACTGGTCCTATTAAGATTAATTATCGTTATACGTGTAGCTTACCCAAGCAGAAGAGTAACAGAATTAATGAAGACCGAGCAGCTGTTATAGTCAAGAGTCAATAAACATTACTATACCTGCTATTGTCTTCATCTGTTTCTTTGCCCACGAACCAAAACCTTGAGCATTGTTCACCCTGATTTTAATCTCATAAATCGTATTACTCTTTAATCCATTGAAAAAATACATGTATGGGGGAATGCTTTCGTCATAGATGACTCGCTCTGTTCTGCCGTTCGCCATATCTAATTGCAGTTCATGCCCAGTGTATGAGGAATTCCACTCAACATGTATGGTTCTTCCACAATTATCGGGCTTTGCAATCACAATTTCTGGAGGCGATGGCTTCAAAGGTTCTGCGGTAAGATTAGTATCATTAAAACAGCCGATGTGTCAGTCATTTACGATTAGTTACACCCGTTGAATCAAATATTTGATCTGCTTCAATTAATAAAATTGTAGGATACAGAGTAAGGACACTGTGTCCATGAAGAAGTACTCGGTCTAATGATAAGGGCTGCCTACAACGCGATTACTGTGGCTGGGCCTCTTAGAGAAAACTACCCAACAATCTGGTAGAACAGAGAGAAATGGATCATCGCTTTCAGCTAATCGGTTTTTAAGAATCATGCAATTTTAAGAACAATACGAAGTATACAACTTTTTCACTGGCACTGCCATTTAAACTGGCAGTCGTACAAGGCGAAGAAAAATTTGGCCGCTAACATGCACAAAAAAATGCAGCAAAAATAGAAGAACACATTTAGTCCCTGAAAAAACAAAACAAAACAAAACAAAACAAAACAAAACAAAACAAAACAAAACAAAACAAAACGAAACAAAACAAAACAAAACAAAACAATAATAAATAAATAATAACAATACATGTAAGTACGGAAATCTGGTTGAGCATACAGTGAATCCCCGCCCTACGGTCATCTCGTTATTACGGCTTGTCTTTTGGTCCTGGTGAAACGCCCATGCATTTAAGTGTAAGAAAACCTTGTTAATGCGGCCACATTCTGAAATCCCAACTTGTATATTGCTTTAAAATTTTAACACGTTATTACGGCAACTCGAGCGAGTCATGTCCATCTTTCCATCGTTAATATTGTACGTACTAATTGAAGTTTCATTTTTTTTTCAAATAATATATTTGGTTAGAAGTGTAATTGTGATATGCATGTTAAGACTGCACTCAATTTAGACCAGTCTTAAAATTTGACCCACCTCATTAATACGGCCATTCCGTTAACACCGCCAATTTTTCGTGGCCCGTCGGTGACCGTATTAACGGACTTCTACTGTATCTAAGAACTAGGCTAGAAACCACCAAGGAATCGACAGAAATGTTTTAAAGAACTTTAATCAACAAAGCAAGTTGTGGTATCTTTTTCGGCCACGTTAAAGAGGCCTATGGATCATTTTTTTATTGTCATCTTTACCTTATTTTCACTTATTTTCACCTGCATTATTTTTCGACCCGTTTCTCAGTGTCGACTGGTAAAGTTTCCCAAGATTTCTAGAATATCCGCTTTCAACATGATTTGTCCTACCAAATCCCAAATTTTTATCTTTCTAGTCTCGCGAAATGTGCCATTTGTATTTTTTTTTTTGGCAAAATGCACCATCTTCCATTCTCGCCAAAGTTGAGTTCGCACAAAAATTGGGAACACTAAAATATTTGTCACTATACGTCTTACCTGCATCCAATACATTCGTGTCGTCTTCTCCCACTGTGGTGTTGGACCTCGTTATCATACACTTGTATTGCCCAAAATCGTGCATAGAAAAGTTTGTAATGGTGAGAGACATCAATCCAACTGACTGCAGGCAAACATTAGGAGAATGAACGTCATAGGACATGCTGTATTTGCTATTTTCCTGAATATCACTTCCGTTAAACTTCCACTTCCAGTAGTAGAAGTCCCTCTGTCCGTAATCGAGGTTGCTGATCTTGCACAATAAAGTTCTAATGTCGGCAGTTCCCATCTGTCCAACGGCAGTTACTATGGGTTGTGACGGTGAACCTGAAATGTCCATGTGTGATAGGAACCATGTTAGGGATACAATAGACCTTTTTTTTAACCGATACGAGGCTAGGGCCATTTTGAATTTGTTGTTTCAAATAGCTAATATGGGATGCTCATGGGGAAAAATTAGTGTGAATTTGTCCCCTAAGCATCCATTGATAGCTAATTTAAACAACAGAATTCAAAGTGGCCGCAGTTTCGGAAAATGGTCCATGATAATAGAAAGCGTTCTTGGTCCAACATGTCGGGTGTATGGGTAAAACAAACCCTTCGTGTGCCACCAGCTGCCTTGGGGTGTTATTTGAAACATTGATGACAGTTAAAACCCGCGAGTGAAAACCTAGATTTTAAGAACCTGCCAGGCTAAAATTTGCCAGTTAGACCCCATCTGTACAAGGACCTGTTTAGCCTAAAATTTCGAACAGATTTTATTTTCTGAATCATAGGTAAAAATTCACTAAATTGGACAAATAGCATGATGCCATACTTTATGGAAACACAGGCACCTTCATATCTTCATTCATATTTTTAATTGAATGCCAATGTTCTGTAGCCACTGTTAATGCTGAGAAAGTATGTATTGTTATGTACAAAGGTATGACTTCAAATGACCATTCATGTGGTAAGCACTTCTTTTTTCAGTAAAAGTCATTATTGCATAAATAAATAATTTTTATGCTAATTTTATGTAAGGAGAAGGCTGAAAACCACTACATTTGAAAGCTTAACTGAAATTACTTTCTTAAGAAAATAAGAACCATTTAAGAACCTAAGTAGCCTAAATGTTTGTTAGATACCATTTGTGTAAAAACCTGTTTAGCCTAACTTGGGAAAATGCAGGTTCTTACTCTCGGGTTTCCACTCTCTCTGTATTTCATAGCTGAAGAGGAAAACGGACAAATATCTGTAATCGATACTGAAGCTTGTAGAACGAATTTAGCCAACCAATTTTAATTCGTAAAAGGCAATCCCAATTTTCTGATACTTTTTATTGGCATCGCGATTAGTTAATATGTTTTTGTCCTGCGTGTAAAGCCGGGCATTGAAGCCGTTAATATATATCAACATTATGTCTAACGTCGAATAAATTTAAAAAGGCTTACAAGAAACCAAAATTTTGACGTTTCGTCTCCTTGTATTGTACTTGTTTAGGGCTTCGCAGGTGTAGTATCCGTCATGTTCGCGTCCGACTTTAGAGAAGTGAAGTGTCAGTGTAGTGAGTATGGCATTTCCCTTCTCAGCAGATATGGAAACTGTTCCATTTAAGTCAACATGTGATAGCTCTCGACCATTCCTCTTCCATTTTACGACTGGAGTGGGTATACCCCGTATGTAGCAATTAAGAATGTGGCTCCCATCCACGAAAAGAGGAACAGGATTCTCGTCGAACGTAATGGATGGATTGTCTGCGGACAAAAGAGAAGGATTATGGAGCACATTGAACGAACTGATGAAGAAATTAAAGTGAACGATTACCTAGGGTACAATTATATTCGAACTTAGAAAGGACAATGGATCACCTTGTCACAAACAAACAAACAAAGCAACAAACAAACAAATAAACCAAAAAATAAACCAACCAAGCAAGCAACCAACAAAGAAAAACTTGAAGGAGATAACAGGTAATGATTTAGTGCAGCAAATAATTGGAGGAACTATGATTTGTTGTTTCTTTGTTTGTTTCTTGCATTTAACAGTAAATGCAAAGGGAATGTTTACCCCAAAATTATGCTCCCAACTCTATCAAATATTCCATAGTAATAGATGTCCAACAGTAGCAATTAAATGTAGTCAGACATGATGATAGATGCGAATGCAGTCATAACACTAATGGAAAAAAGACCTGAAAATATATTCAGGCTTTGAACGGGATTCGAACCCATGACCTTTACGTTACCGGTGCAATACTCCCCCAACTGAGCTATGAAAGCCACACGAGAGCGGTTCTGTGGGTTGGCCCTTTATGTTCAGTGGACGTAATACTCGACTCAAGTATGTAAATTCCATAGTAACAAATGTCCAACACTAGCAGTTAAGGGTTCGTTTCTTTAAAAAATCCAAGATTGGATTCTTAAATCCGAAAGAATCCGATAAAGGATTTTGCGTTTCTTTACTAAACAGATCAATCCAAGATCTCTCGGATCATGGTGCGGCAAAGGAACCGAAGAATCTACTCTGGGAGTGGATCCACTCTGGGAGGGGGATTCGTCGGTTCCTTCGACGCACCATGATCGGAGAGATCTCGGATTGCTCTGTTTACCAAAGAAACGCAAAATCCGTTTTCGGATTCTTTCGGATGGATCCAATCTTGGATTTTCTTAAAGAAACGGACCCAATTAATTAACAGCAATTAAATGTAGACATGATGATAGATGCGAATGCAGCCATAACACTACTGGAAAAAAGACCTGAAAAAGTATTCAGGCTTTTTCAGGTGTTTTCCTTTTTTACTCACAGTGTTATGGCTGCATTCGCATCTATCATCATATCTACATTGAATTACTACTGTTGGACATCTATTACTATGGAATTCACAGTGATACTTAGGCCGAGTATTACGTCCACTGAACATAAAGAGCCAACCCACACATGACTGCTCTCATGTGGCTTTCATAGCTCAGTTGGGGGAGCATTGCACCGGTAACGCAAAGGTCGTGGGTTTGAATCCCGTTCACAGCCTGACTATTTTTTCAGGCCTTTTTTCCAGTAGTGTTATGGCTCCATTCGCATCTATCATCATGGCTATCAAATATTAGTATCACCCAACTAGTGGACTAATGCAAATCCTGCATTTTAATTGGCTACGCTACTACAGGACCATTAGTAATAGTCCTCGAGTAGCGAAATTGGCGCAATCGAGCGTGACGCTTTCTTTCGTTTTATCCCCAATTAAATATTTCTTCAACTTGCATTTGTTAACTTTATTATTGCCTTTTCTGTCCGACTAGTTGGGTGATACTAAAACAATTAGACCCTTCGCCCTTGCGGGCCACAGGTCAATAGCTCATTCGGCTTCGCCTCATGCGCTATTGACCCGTAGCCCGCAAGGGGTACGGATCTAATTGTTAATTATTGAGCAATTTATCCAGGAAAGCAAGCTGATACGTAAAACGTTCTGAAGTTGTCAGATTTGCAAATATTTTACGAACTTGTTTTTCATGAAATTTGGAAACGATGGATTTAACACGAGACTGTATCTATTACTTACCAATTGCCGAGCAAATTTTGTCCACCAACTCGCTCTCAAACAGGAAGAGTGAGGAAGAAGCTTTGACCATGATCAAATCATCATTGGTCTCTGTAATATCCTGTAGCTCCTGCTTATATGCCTCAACACCGGGCCCAGTTCCAACGACAAGAAGGCGAATGCCTTTTTGCTTGAGTGATTGAGAAGCATTTCTTAGAGGAAACTCTTTAAGTCCAATAGACCAGGCACTATGAGTGAGAAGAACGGCAATCTTTGGTGCTCCAAGGCGAGAGCCTCCATCGGTCCCGAAAACATGGTCTGAAGTAAATTGCAAAGCTCGATCGATTCTTGTTAGGGAAGCAGTGCAAGGATCAGGATTGTTTAAATTTTCCATAACGTGAAGAAAGCGATTCATGTCAAAATTTTGCGTGAAGTTCAGCTCTGCTGTTGCCTCGTCATTGTAAAGTACAATCGCAGCGTTAAGCTGAGACGACTTTGTTACCAGTTTTGTCATGGTATTCTTGACGAACTCTTTTTCAAGATGATATTTAAAGAGACTTATGTCTGCATTGTCTATCATAAATGCTATGTCTGCTCCGTCGCTGCACTGGCCTGGAACTGCAAATAACAACAGAAGAATAAAAAATCTAACTATGGTGTCAATCGATGTCAAAACTGCCCCCAAATCAATCAATCGAAGGTTGGTGATATTAATGCCAAATGTAAAGCGACACACAACTGCAGAGAGTGTTCAGGGGCCCGTTTCTCCAAGGTCCTGAAAAGTTTTCGCACCCGGAAAGCCGTCGCAAAATCTCAAACCTTATGATAATTACAGAACTGTTTTATTCACATATTCTTAACATCAACAGAGGTTCTCTTCATTCAAGGAGTTTCAGGCGTATACACCTCTCGGTTTCTAGATCATGTACAGATTTTCTAAAAAATAGCTTTGCGTTCCCGAAGAGTTTCCGGGGCTTTCGAGAAACGGGCCCCAGGTCCGCATGCGTAAACTATATTAGTTTGTGGTCTTAGCTATAAAACTTTCTAGCTTGGGCGGCTTGTTTCCCCATTAGAAACCACGCGATACTCTCTAGAGAATTGTTCTTTTATCCATATAAGGATTACTAATTCATATACGCGCGATTTTTAGGAGATTTAAAAGAATTCTCAAGAGTGTCATCACCTGGGGCCCGTTTCTCGTAGGTCCCGAAAAGTTTTCGCACCGAGAAAGACGTAGCAAAATCTCAAATCTTATGACTACAGAGCTGTTTTTTCCACCTATTTTTAATTCGAACAGAGTTCCCTTCATGCAAGAAGTTTCAGGCGTGTACACCTCTATGTCTTTAAATACTGATTAACTAAAAATGGCTTTTCGGGCCCGAAAAGTTTCCGGAGCTTTCGAGAAACCGGCCCCTGGTCTAAAAATTGTGCTAACTCAGATCCTTGTGAAATGTACCCCATTTGAGGCTTTCATCTTTCTCTAGCACACCAGTAACATTCAATTTTATGTTGGATTGATAATGGTGCTGGTCTAGTCACTCAAAGTTGAACGGTATCGTTACTCAAAAATCCGATCGAGCCACCTTAAATTAACCCCCATAACAATTTTCGTTCACCTCTTGAGTTTAGAAAAGTAAAGATCGCTAGTATTGCTACGTGGGTTCTCTGATAGCTATACTCTTTCTACTTGCCTGCCTGGACATTCTGATGGATCAGATAGCACCAGAAGGTACAGAATATGGCGGATATGACTTGAAAGCATTTCATGACGTCCTTCCTTCCAATCTGCTCTGAAGTACAAGTCAAATTGACACAGTCGCCATAAATTATTGTTATTATTAAAGTCAAAATTTTCTTCCCTTTCTATATAGGGCTGGTTATGGGTTCCAAAGGACGGGGTAAGGGAATGAATCTTGCTCTTATCTCCTGGATTTAACAGTTGTATTTTAAACCAATTGATTTAATTGGCTAGTGCTAATAATATTAGCAAATCCTGGGCGTGTTCAAAGTCGCATATTAAGGTGGCTCTTAACAGTTTCCAACACTTAGATTTTGATGGGTCGTTATAACCACTCTTTATCACTTGATGCTACAATCATGGTACCAAAAAACTGCCCAATCATTGATAAACACGTTGTTATCATTTTCGTGACACAATAGGTTACCATAGCAACAGTATGACCTCCTAAAAATACCCTTAATTACAGTTTCAGGAGCCTATAATTCAAAAACGGCACGGTGAAATTTTTTTACAGTATCAACTTTTGTTAAGCATGATAAGACGCAACTTTTGGCAAAGTTTAAAANATTGGGCAGTTTTTTGACACCATGATTATAGCATCAAGTGATAGAGAGTGGTTTTAACGACCCATCCAAATATAAGTGCTGGAAACTCTTTTGAGCAACCTTAATTAGGTATCCAGAGACCTGCTGGTGGTTAAAATGTTTAGCGGAACGTGCACGTGGTAACGCCCTTTCTCTTTGTGAACTCTGCCAAAATAACTCTTGCTAGATTCAGGTATATTTCTTTTTTAGAGTGAGAGCCGTGCTACGAGATATCATTGGGCAGTTTAAGCAAACCACGACGGCAACGGCAACGAGAACGTCACTAAACAAAAGGTTTAATGAGCAGACCAATGGCTGTGCACGTGCGTGCGTTATAACTCTCTGTACATTTCTTTGCCGTCCTCTGCACAAACGTAACGAATGACTAAGTTCTGCGTATATTAGCTTATTTTGGAGAACGAGAACGACGGCGGCTAATTTTTGGTATTTTCATTCAGAATTGAACGCTAGCATTACATATTTAGCTCCCGGTATTTAGCTTGAGCAAGTTCTGAGACCAATAGGCACACTGAACAGATCTAAGCAATTGCAAAATTAGAAGATAAAATATAAATTCATTTTTTACTAGGCGTTGTCTTTGGGGTCGCGGTTGTCATTGCTTAAACTCAGTATTTCTGATAAGAATACGGACCAAGAACGGATTTAGAATACGACGGCAGTAACGTTAGATGAAGAAGTTAAAAAATTGAACAAATAAATATTTCGCGTAGTATCCTTCTGTTATATTCACTTCTATTCAAACGTACCACATTTAGTTTTACAAATTTATTTCGGCGGACCACAAGTTGTTCGTTTCAGTTTACTTTTGCTTACTTTTATCTTTTTTTCTGCTTTGGCTTGAGCCAATTACGATGGCTAGTAATGCAGCAATAAAACGTTTTATACATTGCGAAAAGTATTTCTGGTTTCATATCTAGAATACGCCTGAAATTAGTACTAAACACTGGTAGATTTTGCAAGAGAAACTTACCATGCTACATTCATATTTACACAGCGATCCCCGGCAGCGATCTTTCTCTATTCGTTTTATGCCAGCGGCTACCTCAAACGTTTTCTTGTTTTCTCGCAAATCAAGCAAGAGAAGTTCCTGTCTACTCAATAAGTGGAAGCTATCTTAGCCGAGCCTACGCAAGGCGGACACTCCGAGAAAACAGGAAACCCATGGAGGTTAAAACACCCAATTGAATTATATTTTTAAATCTATCGTCGCTCTTGCCTAGCACTTATAACAATTACGTCAATAGCTCGTTTTTAAATTGACATTAAAAAGCAAAAAAATAAAGAGGTACAATTATCGTGACAAAAACTATCAAATTCTCATTACAAAAAGCGAGGCATCTCGTCTATAGCACGGCAATTATATTACTTAGCCTCAATACGAAGTTTACATTAACTCTATTGAAACTGAGGGTTATTGACGAGAAAATAGAAAGTGGAAGATTTTATCGGAAGCGAGGGGCGAGTAAAGCGAGTAAAGCAAGGCGACTTATTGACAAGGAAATAGAATGTGGAAGATTTTATCGGAAGCGTGGGGCGAGTAAAGCGAGACGACTTTTTGCGCGGTTCTCACTGAGTAACTACGCCTCTAAAAAGTTGCAACGCAAGGATAATATGGTCGATTTTCGATCAATATGGACAAACGGTAGATTAACTTCAGTTAGCAACACAACCAGTGGAGGTGGTGGAGGTCAGACCAAGATTATAAATCTGCCAATGTTATGGAAACTCGTTTACAACCACTACGTTTTTTGTACCGCCAAAAACTTTTCTATCAGCTTGGTACCAAGCTTATAACCTCCAGTTTGACCAAGGTTACTATAATCGCTTTATCTTTTACACTGGAAACTCCCATCTAGCTACACGCTAACCAAGGGAAACAAATCGTTGCCCTCAAAAGCTTTCAATTGATTAAAACTCATGGTGGTAGAGTGAGAAACATTGAATTAGGACTGTCAATAACAGATAAGCTGGGAGCAAATGTATTGCTACAGATAAATTGTTACAGTTTCTCTCCGTTGATATTGTTTAATTTTTGTGTTTTTTTTTTTAATTAGTATTTTTTTGGTGTGTGTCGCATTTACGATCAAGACATCAGAAAATAGACTGGAATTACTACGGAATCAACACACCATACAGGCGGTTTTCATAAACATCACAATGTGCGATATGCTAATTTATGATTAGTTTTTTTTTTCTTTAGGCAAGCAATTAGTGGATTTGACTACATGAGGGACGGGAATGCAACGAAGGAAAAAAAAAAAACAAAAAAAACAGACGTCCTCAAGAACGAAATTACTTTACTACATGTCAACAAATTTTAAGGTGGACATAAACTTGCTTATCGGTCAACCCTATTCCTGTAGTGTATGAAGAAAGAGCTGTATGAGAAAGAGCTGATCCAACTTAGAACTGAAGCTAACTTACCAATCTATGTTACTTTCGACATTGCATGTAAGCCCAAACTGATAGTATCGCCAACACTCGTATGACCTCTGAAAACATTTATCATCGAAGAAAAAAAGCCATGTACATGTATGATTAATTGCCACTTTATACCTATGACATGAGCGACCGCCCTCGAACGGATGACTGTGTCTTCTTAAGAAAGATAACAGTCATAGCTTACAGATAGTGTTTTTTTTTAATCATAAACTACCTCCGGCTGTGTTCGCAGAGTTAATTTCGTGTGTTTTCTGATCCGAAAGCTCTTATTATTTATTGGTTTTACATATGTAAATGTCACTTCATTAAACAAATGTCATTTACATTTGGCACGATGCTTTTAAGTTGTGTTTACTTTGAGAAAGTTCTCTTGAATACCTTGAATACACCCTTGTACCCTCATCAGAGCACATAGTAAATAAAGAGCGATCAGGTAAGCGTATATATATATATTAAAAAAAAAACTTTATATATCACAACAAAACGCACCAGGAGGAAAAAAAAAAAAAAAAAAAAA